CTGCCCTCTCTGCCTCCCTACCTGCTTGCAGAGGGAGCCCTGCTCTCCCAGGCCCCGTTCGGGCAGGTGTGGGTGTTTCCAGTGTGTCCGGCTCACCCCTCACGGCCGCCTCGTGATGATGGGGAAGCGAAGGGCGTCAGCTAAGCAGCTTCGAGCTGTCAGGCCCAGCTTGGAGCGCGGCCTGAGCTCCATGTGCTTCATTCCACCCACCCCACGGGGCTGGGTTCCGAGTGGCTGCAGCTCCTTCACCTTCCAGAACCCTTTCCTCTGTTGCTGACTGGCTGCACGGTCGCCTCTCGGGCTCTTGAACAGAAGTCCACCCATGCTTCTTTCTGCAAGTAGGCAACTGGCTGCTCTTTCCTTGGAGACACGTAGTACCCCACCTGCATCCCACGTGCGTGGTGTCTATCCTCTGGCCTCCATGGGAGCTGGGAAGCAGGGCCGCCCCATTCTGTGCCCATAGGAATGAATAATAAGACACAGAGAGGAAAAAGTAAATAAGCCATAGTCCTTCAACCAAAAGGTAGCCACTACTTACACCCATGGATAGAGCCACAGAGGTAGCTGAGAATGGTACCTAGATATCTTACATTATTATTTCACAACTCAGGACCATGTCCTTGAGAAGTGTTTGAATCAAAATATTCTCATACAACCCTCCACCTAATAGCTATGAACTAACTTAACAAAATCGACCCATAGTTGAGGGTTTTCCGTCATGTCCTCAGTGACTGCTAGAAACTTAATCCAATGATTAGTTCAATTCAAAATTGACTGATCTATCAGCAACCTGGGAAAGAAGGACAATTTGGAGTAAGTTATCCTTCTTGACCCTATTGTGATTCCTAGTGACAATTTCTTTTGTCTGTTTAAAACACTGATGCAATGATTTTTCAGATCTGTGTCAAGCTCTTGGGTTGGACCCTCCTGCTGGGAAGTTCAGGTGCAATGTGCAACTGGGCTTTCTGGCACTGCGTCTGTTCCCTGTGACGCCTCTGAACAAAGTTGTCATGTTTCGACGTCCCTTCCGCTTGCCATATTAGCTCACCCGGGTATAGCTGCTCTGGGATTCCCCTTCCTGTGAGAATCCTCTCTCTGCCTTTCACTCTGGGGACACCTGTACCGTAAGCCTCAGTTGTATCCCCTCTGTCTGCCCTCCAGGTGGCCTGCGCTGGCCTCGGTAGCCAAGGTTCACTGTGTGGACTGTTGGACCAAGATGCCCAGCAGGACGGGTTCCCTGCTTGACATGTAGAGGGGCCATTCTCAAGGTCCTGTGGTGTGTTCTGGAAAGGATTAAAAGCACTGCAGAGCTCGCCCTGTGCAGACCCCTGCAGACCCCTGCAGACTCTGGGCAGACCCTGTGCAGACCCACTGCAGACCCTGTGTAGACCTGTGCAGACCCTCGCAGACCGCTGCAGACCCTGTGCAGACTCTGTGCAGACCACTGCAGACTGCTGCACACCCTGTGCAGACTCTGTGCAGACCGCTGCAGACCCTGTGCAGACCTGTGCAAACCGCTGCAGACCGCTGCAGACCCTGTGCAGACCCTGTGCAGACTCTGTGCAGACTCTGTGCAGACCGCTGCAGACCCCGTGCAGACCCTGGGCAGACCCCGTGCAGTCCCTATGCAGACCCCGGGCAGACCCCGTGCAGACCCTGTGCAGATTCTGTGCAGACCACTGCCCTTGCTTTTGTAAGTGCCCAAAACGAGCAAAAGATAAGATTGTTTTGGTATTTGGGGCACATGAGTTCTTCATTGTTGCCCTTAATGATAAGAAATATCTTAATGATAAGAAATGCGGAAACAGCTTCATAGTTTTTTTGTTGATTTACAAATTCTGTAAGTTACTGCTCTGGTATTAGCATAAAATTCTAATCACATCCTTGCGTCATGTAGTATGCTACTGAAGTGAGTTTGCTGGGCAGTTTGTCCCCATAACCTTCTAGGTACTTAACAAAGCTGAAAGAGGAGAGGCAAACCATCTTCTCTCTGGCTCTTTCACCCTGGTCAGATGCTTATACCCTCTTTTCTCAGTCTGACAGTAAATTGGCTAATTGCCACCTTGTAAGAGAAAGACATGAAGGACGATTAACCCAAACTTGTATTTGGAATAAACTTAAGACGTGCTTCACTTATTTATCCACCTCTCTAAATAATTTAACCTTGTTTCTTTCTTAATTATCAGCACTAAGACTAAAGAGTTAAATTATTTAATAACTCACAGCATTTTCACCTTGTTCTTCAGTTAAATTCCTGACTATTCTTATTTTGTTTTTACATATAAATTTGAGAATCAGTTTATAAATCCTTTTTTTCATTGCTATAACAAAATGCCAGAAGCTGGATAATATATGAAGAAAAGATGTTTGTTTAGCATATAGTTCTGGAGATTTGAGAGCAGAGCACCTGCTTCTGCGTGGCCTTGATGAAGGCCTCCTGGTGGATGGATATATGAGGGTCAGAGCTTGGGAGAGTGACGGACCACATGGCAAGGCAGGACCGGAGAGCCAGGAGGGACTGTCTCATTTGTTATGACAATCTGCTCTCATGAGCACTCTTTAGACCAGCATTAATCCCTCCAGGGGCAGTGCCCCCTGTAACCTAACCACCTCCCACCAGGCCCCACCTCTGAAAGGCTACACCACGCCCAATGTCATCACACTCACAAAATCCAAAATCGATGCCCTTCTCAGGAGGTGGATTAAAATCTATTATCCCATTTTACAGACTGGACATAGAGCAGAGCTTCGAACCCAGGCAACCCAGGGCTTCCACCTGCTCCCCGCCCCCACAGCAGTCTAAGACTGGGACTCGAGGTCAGAGGCGGAGGTCAAAAACCTAAGAACCCAAAGAAACCAGGGCTGTGTGCCCACTCCTCCGAAGGCTTGCCTGCCGCCGGTCCCCCCTTGAACACTGCCAATGTCGTGCTGAGCCCCAGTGTGTTAGTCTCAGGGAGGGTTTTACCTGAGGATATGGTGGTCTTGAACTTTTATAAGGAGAAAATCCTTCCTTTTCCTCGCACCCTACCACTGATCGGGAGCTGAAGAAGGCGGCCCGGGACCCCGCGTATCTGATATTGGCTGGTTTCCTTTTCTTGGTGCCAAATCAGCAAAGGATTTGTTAAGTATGTGACCTACGTTTGCTAGACCCCAGGAACCCAGGGAAGAATCACACTTCTAGCAAGACTGTCTGGAAGCTATTAGTGACTAATCCAGGTACTAGGAATAAATTGCATGAATATTCAACATCCAACGGCGACTGCTGCCAACTGTATCCAAAATCACTCCTTCCTGTGCATGTGGCTGCTCTGCCAGCTCTGTGCCTGGTCCTGAGAAGGAGGCTGCCCGTGTCGAGTTCACAGTCCGGAAACGTCTGCAGAAATGCTGTCTAGGAAGGGCTGAAACGTGACCGTTCTGACCAGCTCTGCCACGCCGACTGCAGAGAAACCCAGCCAGAGGTTCCGTGGCATGTCCCTCTCGGAAAGCCATGGGAGTAACACAGGGTGCAGTACCCCTTCCAGATCACCTGGGCAAGTGGTGCGCGCCTCCTGTGACCATCCTCACAGCTGAGGTCGTCCCCAAGCCAACCTAGAGTTCCCAGGAGAGGCCAGCTTCCCCACTCTGAGCGTCCTTTGGGCCCATGAACCTCCATGGTCTTTTGCTCCACACTGGTCTTTTGCTCTTGGGATAACTTCTGGGCTGTTCTGAGCCCAAGAGAAGCCCCTCCTCAGACCTAAGGAGTACAACAGCCAGGACAGGTGCAGGAAAGAGCTCAGAGATAAACAGCCAAGCCCCAAGAGCAGTTGTCAGTTGCCCGACTTAGGAGTTGCCTCAGTTTCTTTTTTTGAAAAATGGGCTAATAATACTTACCTAGTAGGATTCATGGGCGTCTTGAAGGAGATAATAGATGTGCAGCTATTACGTAGGTCATTCATTTGGAGGCATTATTGATGAAGATTGTGAACTATTAAAGTTCATCCTGGAACTTGTGTTCTTCCTGGGGTACATTCTGCTCCTAGGAGAAGCCAGCCTGCTCTGCTCCCGCCAGCCTGCATCAGAGCCTCCCAGAACCCTGCCTTCGCGCCTTGCCTCAAAGGCTTCATTTGTCAAACTGTGAGGTCACTTCATGCTTTCGTTTTGGAGCTGGAGTCTGGTCACAGGACCAGGAACCTGGTTGCTCTGTATGTGTTGCGTGTCTGATTTTAGAACATTTAAGGTGTGTGGGGGGAGAGGGGGTGCAGTGGGGGAGTCCTCTTGTCTTCATAGTTAGGAGTGTTTACTGGCATCCACAAAGTTCAACCTCTTCATTCAATCATTCTGCACATACTAGAAAATAACTGCGTTCCGTCCACATGCTGATGATGGTCTCCGGGGCTGGGAGACAGTGATGATCTTCAAGATGGTCTTGGAGCAGCTGGCAGCCCAGAGGAGGAAGGCGAGCCCCTGGACCAGCAAGCAGAGTGACAGCAGATGTGCACTAGGGTGGGGTACTGGGGGGCCAGTCCAGCCCCACTGTGTCCCCAAAATGAAGCCCAGGGCTGGAGTTCAGGCACGTCCTGCCAGAAGGGAGGGGCCATTGAGACCTGGAGGAAGAGAACAACCAAGACACAGAGGGAGAAGGACAGGCCAGGTGGGGCGGGGGGCAGAGGGAAGGCCCAGAGCTGGGGCCTTCGCTGGGAGCCGCATGGACCGGGGACAGCACGTGGGAACGTGGCTCAGTGCCCACCTGGCCACCACTCAGCTGGGAGCGCGGAGACCCATCGACAATAATGGTCCCAACTTCAGAGGGCTCCCGAGAGTTAGAGGGGGTGTTGTTCTAAAAGCATCCAGACTGCGCCTGCAGGAACTAAGCGCTGTGGCAATATTTGCGAAATAAAAGTAAATCGACCGAGGCACACAGAGTCTAATCTCGAGCCTAAATTTTTCTTTTCAGAGCATCTTTTCTGATTTCAAAAGCACATCACGCTTTGGCTAATGTTTGGCATCTGTTTGTGTTTCAGCGGCTTTTCCTGAGTCCTGGGTCTTCCTTTCGTCTGGACATATTCTACCGCAGCTATTTATTTATTTTTGAACAAGAACATCTCACGTCATGGACCTCGTTGGACTGCTGAAGTCCCAGTTCCTGTGCCACCTGGTTTTCTGCTACGTGTTCATCGCCTCGGGGCTCATCATCAACGCCACGCAGCTCTGCACGCTCGTCCTCTGGCCCATCAACAAGCAGCTCTTCAGGAAGATCAACTGCAGACTGTCCTACTGCGTCTCTAGCCGTAAGACCCTTCCTTACACTTCTGTCCTCCCGGCTTCCCCGGGACCAGTCTGTCGGGACTGTGGCTCTTGATATGGTCCGCTGGCCTTTCGGTCCCTGCTCCGCTGTTCTGGGTTTTGTTTTGGTCTGCTTTCTGTTGGAAATGTCTGTTTTCGTCCTCACTCTTTGAAAATGGTGCTTTGAATGAGGACTGCCAGGAACGTGAAATTCAGTGGGCAAGAATGCTGTGTGGCTTCTACCCCCAGTTCTCGCTTCTCAGATGCGATCCGTGTCCCTGGGTCTTAGTTATCCTTAGAGAAACAGTAGGTACATCTGGCCCGTGAGTGTACCTGTGAGTCTCTCTGCGTGTGTACATTGACACACTATATATACACTTCTTTTTGCCATGCTGGGGATCAAATATGCATATATTTTTTAAATGAATGACAGTTTTCTCTACTGTTCTCTTCCTTGCTTTCCTCCCATCTTTTATTTTGAGATGATCATAGATTTACATGCAGCTCTGAGAAACAATAAGGTAAAATCCCAAATGCCCTTCAGCCCGTTTCCCCCAGTGGTAACGTCTTGCACAGTGAATTACAACATCCCAAGAAACGGACATTAAGAGGATCCAGCAACCCTTCTTGGCTTTCTCAGCTCTTATACACACTTGTTGGTGTTTATGTAATGTGTTTACGTCATTAGTTTCACACATGACTAATCTAACTAGCCTAAGTTTTGGCATTTAAAAGGGAAATCAGTGCAATGCGTATCTAGAGATGTGCTCCATCGTTGCTGTTGATTGACTTTAAGCTCATACCTCTTCTCAAAAGCGGAACATGCGCTGTATCAGTAGCATTATGCACAGGTACAAACGTATTTCAAAATATGAATGCTTTCAAATTAAGTCCTCTTCAAAATCTGTAACCTTAGATTATGTCACCAGTCCAAAATCATCAATATTTTTGTGAAACCTTAAAAAAAAAAAAAAGAATTTGAATCAAATCAATAAAAGCTATGTACAATTTTCTAAATGAGTTACTAGTGATCCAGTTCGTTTTTATGTTTTTAATGTATTTTTAACTTTTATTGACACGTAGTAATTATGTATATTTTGGGGGTACAGTGTGACACTTTGATATGTATATACAAGCACAATGATCAGATCAGAGTAACTGGGCACATCCATCATCTCAAACAGTCGTTGCTCTTTGTCTTGGGAACATTCCAGTCCTCTCTACCAGCCACTTTGAAATATACCATTGATTTTTGTCGTAATATCCTACTGTGCTGTAGCACACTAGAAGTTACTCCTCCTCTACCCCACAATGCTGCACCTGTTAGCTGAGCTCTCTCCATCCCTCTCCCCCTCGCCTTCCCAGGCGCTGGGAACCACCATCCAACTTTCCCCATGTAAATGAGAACTTATGGAATTTGTCTTTCTACGCCTGACTGATTCCCCTTAGCATAACATCCTTTGCTTCTGTTCATGTTGCTGCAACTGATGTTTTGCCATTCACTTTCGTGGCTGAGTAATATTCTAACACAGGTATGGACCACATTTTCTCCATCTGTCCATCCTTCAGTGGACACTGGGTTGATCGATCAATCTCTTGGCTATGTTGAGTAGTGCTGTAACACACTGTGAAGTACTGATGTCTCGTGACATACTGATTTCATTTCCTTTGGATGTCTACCCAGTCGTGGGAGTGCTAGGTATGTGGCGGTTCTGTTTCCGGCTTCTTGAGGAACCTCCACACTGCTTTCCACAATAGCTGTGCTAATTTATATGGTTAGCACTGCTAGCTTTCCCTAAATCCTGGCCACCAATTGCTATTTGTTTCGTCCCTTTGATAACAGCCATTCTAAGTGGGGTAAGATGGTATCTCAATGTGGTTTTGATTGGCATTTCTCTGATGAGTAGTCATGTTGAATATTTTTTCATATGTTTGCCATTTATACATCTTTTTTGAGAAATGTCTATTTAGGTCATTTGCCCATTTTTAAATCAGCTCATCATCACCATCATCACCATCATCATTGCCACCATTACCGTCATCATCACCATCAGTCACTGTCATCATCACCATCATTACCATCATCACCATCACCACCTGACCATCATCATCATCACCACCACTATCACCATCACTACCATCATCACCATCACTACCATCATCACCATCACTATCACCATCATCATCACCATCATTACCATCATCACCATCATTACCATCATCACCATCACTATCACCATCATCATCACCATCAATCACTGTCATCATCACCATCACTACCATCATCACCATCACTACCTGACCATCATCATCATCACCACCACTATCACCATCATCATCACCATCACTACCATCATCACCTGACCGTCATCATCATCACCATCACTATCACCATCATCATCACCACTATCACCATCATCATCACCATCACCACTATCACCATCATCATCACCATCACCACTATCACCATCATCATCACCATCAATCACCATCATCGTCACCATCATCATTTTATTTTGAGTTGCTTGCACTCCTTAATGTCCTGGATATTAACCCCTTGCCAGATGACTAGTTCATTGTGATTATTACACAAGCATGAAATAACGTTTGCTCCAATTCAGTCCCTCATACTTCTTTTTTTCCTCCTCTTCTTCTTCCCCCTGTTCCCTTTTCTTTACTTACTGATCTTTCTCCTGTTTATTTATGGTTTTTAAAATCAGTGCATTACAGATACACATAAAGGAGATGTTCATATACGCACACTGGCAGGTTTGGTCAGTGTTGCTCCCCCATTCTTCCCTTTTCCTGTCCCCCCCAACTGCTTTCTCCACTCCATTGATCGTTCTTCTATTTTCATGGGATGCCCCCAACTTCTTTCTTTGTTTCTTTTCTTTTCCCCTTATTTTGTTCTAGCATATGGGAGAAACATTCAACCCTTCTGAGTCTGGCTTATGTCACTTAACGCGATGCTCTCTAGTTCATCCATTCACCAGCAAATGCTGTAATTTCCTTCTTCAAGGTTGAGCGAAACTCCATTGTGTAGATAGACCACTTTTTTTCCTATTGTTCTTTGACAGGCACCAAGATGGTTCCATAATTTGGCCGTTGTGTATTGCACTGCCGGAAGCACTGATGTGGCTGCATTCCTGTAGTAGGTGCTGATTTTAGATCCCTTGGGTGTATCTCAAGGAGTGCTCTAGCTGGTCATGTGGTGTTTCCTTTCCTCATTTTTTGAGGAGGCTCCATATTGTTTTCCAGACTGGTTGTACTAATTTGCAGTCCCAACAATAATGTATGAATGTACATTTCCCCCACATCCTTACTAACATTTATTGTTATTTGTATACTTGATAATTGCCATTCTGATTTAAAATCAGGAATCACTACACAGGACGGCATCAAATTATAAAGCTTCTACACAGCAAAGGAAACAATTAAGAGCATAAAGAGAGACACTACAGAAGGGAGAAAGATCTTTGCCATCTGCTCCTCAGATAGGAGCTTAATATCCAGAATGTATAAAGAATTCAAAAAATTTAACACCAAAAGAATAAATGACTCAATAAACAAATGAACAAAGGAATTAAACAGATACTACTTTTTTTTTTTTTTTCCCCATACCAGTGATTGAAGTCAGGGCCACTTAACCACTGAGCCACATCCTCAACCCCCACTTCTTTTTTTTTTCTGTATTTTATTTAGAGACATGGTCTCACTGAGTTGCTTAATGCCTTGCTAAGTTTCTGAGTCTGGCTTTGAACTCTCAATCCTCTTGCCTCAACCTCTGGAGCTGCTGGGATTATAGATGTGCACCACTGCACCCAGCTAAACAGACACTTCTTAAAAGAAGAAATACAAATGACCAATATATATGGAAAAATGGCAATTATCAAGAATATCAGGGAGATGCAAATCAAAACAACACTGAAATTTGATCTCACTCTAGTCAGAATGGCAATTATCAAGTTTCAGATCTTACATATAAATTTGATACATTTGGAGTTGATTTTTTTTTTTTTTTAATGATGAGAGTTGGGGATCTACTTTCATTCTTCTGCATGTGGAATCTAGTTTTCCCAATATCATTGAGGGGACTGTCCTTTGAAGAGTATGTCCTTGCTGACTCTGTCAAATCAGTTAGCTATAAAAATATGAGTTTATTTCTGGGTTCTCTGTGCTATCCCATTGGTCTCTGTGTTGGTTCTATATCGTAGCTTCATAGAAAGTCTTGCATTCAGGTGTCAGGATGCCTCCCACTATGCTCTTATGTTTGGGATTGCTTGACTGTTGTCTTTGTGGTTTCATACAAATTAGGAGGGTTTTTTCCCCCTATGTTTATGAAGAATGTCATTTGTATTTGTTAGGAATTACAGAATCTATGGATTACTTTGAGTAGCATGGGCATTTTGTATTTTTAATTTTAATTTTTTTGCAGTACTGGGAATTGAACTCAGGGATGCTCTATCACTGAATTACATTCCCAGCATTTTCATTTGATTTTTTGAGATAGGATCTCACTACGTTGCTGAGGCTGGCTATGAACTTGTGATCCTCTTGCCTCAGCCTCCTGAGTCGCTGGGATTACAGGTGAACACTATGACCAGCAGCACGGACATTTTAACAATTATTCAATCTGTCTAAATTGATATTAGTTCTTCTTTAAAAGTTTGGTCAGATTCAATAGGGAATGTGTGTGTGGGGGGGTGTGGTGCATGTGTCCTCTTCATCTTCATTCATTAGCATTTTGTGAATTTCATTGTACAGATCACTTGCTTCCTCAGTTAAGCTGATCTCTATAGACATTTTATTTCCTTCGTAGCTATTGTGAATGGGATTGCTTTCATTTCTTTCTCAGCAGTTTCCTTACTGGTGTTTAACAATGGCATTGACTTTTGTATGTTGATCTTGTATCCTGCAACCTGACTGTTTTAGCAGTTTGGGGTGGAGTCATGAAGTCATGTCCTCTGCCGATAGGGATAAGCTGATGTTCTCCTTTCCTACTCGA